GGGTTCCATCCCTGGTACAAAAAAAAAAAAAAAAAAGGGAAAAAAAATACTGAAGGAAAATTGCCAGAAGTAAACCATTCATTAGTGTACTTACTTACTTAATTAAATAATTTAATTTTTGCAGTGCTAGGGATTAAACCCAAGGCTTTTTCAGTGAGCTACCTCCCTGGCTATTTATTAAAAAATTTTAAATTTGAGACAAGATCTTACTAAGTTGCCCAGGCTTGGCTTGAACTTTCAATCCTCCTTCCTCAGCCTCCCAGAATGCTGGGATTGCAGAAGTGTGCCACCACACCTGGCTCCATTTGTTTTACTTTTTGTTTTTGGTACCAGGGATTGTACATTTGTTTTAAATAACTCATTGTTTATAATTGTTCCATTTTTGACTAGTTATTGCTGTTAACCCCTTACTGTGCCTAATTTATAAACTAAACTTTTATAGGTCTGTATGCATAGGAAACAATGTAACAGTTAGAGGATTCAGTACTATCCTTGGTTTCAGATATCTGCTGGGGTCTTGGGATATATCTCCCATGGATGGGGGAACAGCTGTATATTTTGTTGATTGGAGACAGCAAGTAGAACATAGCAGTGCATTGTATCCCATTGCTTCTGTAGCAAATTAACCATAAATTTAGTGGTCAGAACACCACATATTTATTCTTTACAGCTCTAGAAGTCCCGAGTCTAAATTCAAGGTGGCAGCTGGGCTGTGCTCCTTCTGGAGCCTTCAGAGGGATGTTTCCTTGCCTTTCCAGCTTTTCAAAGGCTATTTGCTTTCCTTGGCTGGTGGACTCTTCCTCCCTTCATACCACTTTCTTTTGAGATCAGAGCTTCTACTCCCCAGTTATCCTGTTGCCTACTCATAAGGACTATGATGACTACTTTTGGGATGTGTGTTGTTGTTGTTAATGCAACCTACTGCATTGGGTTTGAATCCCTGCTCTGCCGCTTGCTATTCATGTGACCTTAGAAAACAAACTTACTTAGCCTTTAGGTGCCTTATTTTCCCCATCTGCAAAAAGGAGATACAGTAATTTCCTCCACCTTCCAGGGTTGGTATGAGGTTTAAATGAGTTAACATGTAAAACCCTTAGAATGTTGTATTATGTGATTTTTTAAAAATGAGTGTTTATATTAATTTCTGTTGACAGTAGGGAGCCATTAAAAGTCTTAGAGTGAGAGTGTGCCTTGATGGAAAGCCTGCTGAGATGCCTTGCACTGGTCTTTTTCCTGAGCCAGCCCTCTTTCCTCAGACACTGCTCCAGTCTCTGAAGTGACTTCTAAGCTGAAGAGCTATGAATTTCAAGGGAACCATTTCCGGGTGACCCGGGGAGACTATGCTCCCATCCTTCAGAAGGTGGTAGAGCACCTGGAGAAAGCCAAGGTGGGACTGGCTGACAGGTGTGGGCTCAGGACTCCTCTGGGAAGCAAATGGGGCTTGGGAATGGAATGGGAAGGTGGCCCAAGGCTGAGGAGCCCTGCTCACCCCCCAGGCTTATGCAGCCAACAGCCACCAGGAGCAGATGCTGGCCCAGTATGTGGAGAGTTTCACTCAAGGTTCCATCGAGGCCCACAAGAAGGGCTCCCGTTTCTGGATCCAGGACAAAGGCCCCATCGTGGAGAGGTGAGGTGCTAGCCTTCCCTTGCCACTTCTTCTGGCCACCCTCCTCCATATCTGCCCTTCTCTTCCCCAGTTACATCGGATTCATCGAGAGCTACCGTGATCCCTTTGGTTCCCGAGGAGAGTTTGAAGGTACCTTCTGGGGATAAGGGGAGGTCAGTTCAGAATCCCTTCTCCCAGGTCCACGTTGATGCTCTCAAGTGTCCCCTAGAGTTCTCCCCTCCTTCCCCTCCACTTCCCTGCAGTAATAACAATAATAATAGCCATGGAAAACATCTTTATAATTTTTTTTTTGGCACCAGGAACCAAATTCACGACCTTGAGCTTGCCAGGCAGGCACAGTACCACTGAGCTAAATCCCCAGCCCCTCTTGGAAAACACATTACTTATCCCATCCCACACTGTCTCATAAAGCTGTCTATATTGTCTGTATTGACTTGTTTAGCAGTTATCATCCTATGAAGATTTTTATCTGTTGGTGAGTGACTAAGTCCAGGAACCTCATGGGGCTTTGAGCTATGCTGGTCACCAGAACACTAAGCCCTGCTTTGCCCATCCCTAGTTCTGTGGCCTTGGGCCTAGTAACCCAACCTCTGAGCATCATGAGGTGCTGCACTGCTGCACTTGGTGGCTAGAGCAGACACTGTGACAGTGAACGTGACTCAGCAGCTGTCATCCCAGGCTGGTGGCAGGCTGCCTTGGGCCCTACCTTGGCCATGGGACCCACCTTCTTGAGGCAAGGCCTTCAGCCTGAGGATTCATACTTGGCTCTGTCCACCCTCATCTTCCCTAGCCCCAGCAATGGAGCTGCCAAAGCCAGGGATTAGCCTGGGAGAAAGGGAGGCACCAGCAGCCCATGGGCCTGCATCTGAGCCATGGATCGAGGCCCAGGGGCTTGAAGGGGACACGAGTTCCCATAACCACAGCTCTGCTACCTGATCCCCTAGGCCCAGGTGTGGGTGATTGTTGTCCCCATCTGTCAGCTCAGGGCCACTGCACACAGCAGGCATTTAATACATATGTGGTGTTGAGTAGGGTGGTGTGGGATTCCTTCCCTGGACCAGGCCAAGCTATAACCCCACCCCTCCCTGCAGGCTTTGTGGCCATGGTGAACAAGGCCATGAGTGCAAAGTTTGAGCGGCTGGTAGCTAGTGCAGAACAGCTGCTAAAGGAACTGCCCTGGCCCCCAGCCTTTGAGAAGGACAAGTTCCTCACCCCGGACTTCACCTCCCTGGATGTCCTCACCTTCGCAGGCTCTGGCATCCCTGCTGGCATCAACATCCCCAACTGTGAGTTTGCTCGGTATCCCCTGAACCCCCAGGAACCGCCCTCCAACATATACCATGACAATGAACCTGACTCAGCTGCTGTCATCCCGCACTGGTGGCAGACTGCCCTGATCTATTCACCCTCCTAGCCTGCTCCTCCTGCTGTCTGTGACCTTTGACCTTTGCCTTTGTCCTCTGGTCCCCTCCTGCTTTTTCTTCCAGATGATGACCTGAGGCAGACAGAAGGCTTTAAGAATGTGTCACTGGGGAATGTGTTGGCAGTTGCCTATGCCACGCAGCGGGAGAAGCTGACATTCCTGGAGGAGGAGGATAAGGTGGGTACCGGCAGCCAGAGAGTCTGGCCTCGGTGATCTAGGAAGGCTGACAGCCCAGACCTGTGGCAAGAACAGCATAGCTTCAGTCCTGGCTTGGTCACTTTCCAGCTGTGTGACCATGTGCCCCTGTGAATCTCCTTTTTCTCACTGGTCATATGTGGAGGCGGTCCCTTCCCCCTCAGGTCCTAGCAAGAATGACTTGGGCTATGTGCCCACTTGCCATGAACACCACGATGGCCCTTCAGCCTGGGGAGACACAAGCCACCAGGGGGTGGGTGGCTGAGACAGGACAGCAGACAACAGCTCTCTCCTTGTCCCGGCAGGACCTGTATACCCGTTGGAAGGGGCCCTCCTTTGATGTGCAGGTGGGGCTTCATGAGCTGCTGGGCCATGGCAGTGGCAAGCTCTTTGCGCAGGTGAGACGGATAGGGCCATCCCAGTGCCACGTGAAATGAAGGGAAAGGCAAACAGACAGCCTTGCCAGCAGGCTAAGGAAGCTTGAGGGACCCCAGGATGGAGCCACACAGATGAGATGACAAGGGGCTGGGCAGGGCCATGAAAGACAGTGTGGTTCTGAGTTGAGCCTGATCCATGGTTGGGCAGCTTCTCTGGATGGGGCGGCACAGAGCAGAGGGGTCCTGGGAAGTCAGGAGCATGTGGAAGGCAGCTGATGGGGCCCCTGCCCAGGCTTTATACACGTTGTGGCATCAGACAGCTTGGCTCCTATCACCAGGCCTCTTGTCAGCCCATCCATATAACAGGATTCCTGACCTACTGTATGGCCTGTTGGGAGAAATAAAAATGAAGGTGGATAGGATGCCCTGGTACACAGTAGCCTCTCAGCAAACCAGTATGTTAAGAGACAGTGTACATAGAGGGTTATGTGTCCCAATTCCAGTTTCCCCATCTATGAAGTGGGGTAATAATAGATCTTCCTTGGAGGACCTAAATGGACAAAGTGAAGATGAAATGGATACTGAAAGATAATTGGCCTGGGGCAGGATGGTGGGGATGGTGCCGAGGCCTCCTGCAGCAGCTTGGGAGAGCACCAGGAAGTGTGTGGAAAGAAGCAGCCAGGCTTCCTGGTGCCCCCATTGGAGCCTCTCTGATTGGGGTCTGGAGATCCTGGCTCTGGGTCATCACACAACTTCCCAAGGTCCCTCCTGTCTGGCTCCCAGATTCCCCTTGTGCAGTGGGGGCGAGTGGCTATTCATCCATTCCTGGAAATCAGGAGGTGGGAGGGATTCTGGGTATTGGGATGGGACAGCTGTTCCTCTAAGGCAGATGAAATGATTTAATCCCAGGGTTCTAGGTGCAGGGATGGACACTTGTACCTCCAAGAGCCCCGAGGCTCTAAGGAGGCAGCCAGTATCCTCAGGGTCGCAGGCAACAGCATGGCAGTGGGCCTGCTGCTTCTGCCATCCACTTGCTGTTCCACACTGACCTTTGTAAGCCACTTCTTGACCAAGGACTCTGGGGCTCTGAGATTCTCTCCTTCACTGGCCCGAAGTTCACGATGACCCTTTTCCTCCAGGATGAGAAAGGAGCATTCAACTTTGACCCGGAGACAGTGATCAACCCCGAGACTGGAGAGCAGGTGGGGACAGCTTCTATAGGGCCCAGGTATTGAGAGGGTGGGCAGAGTGGGCCCTGATTCCTCGGTCTCCACTCCCAGATTCAGAGCTGGTACCGGAGTGGGGAGACGTGGGACAGCAAGTTCAGCACCATTGCTTCCAGCTATGAAGAGTGCCGGGCCGAGAGTGTGGGCCTGTATCTCTGCCTCAACCCCCAAGTGCTGGAGTAGGAGCAGCAGGCATGGAAGGGTGGAGGTAGGGTGTCACCCGGGAGGGCAGAGCCACCCTCATCATCCCTGTCTCCTGCCCCTCCCCCAGGATCTTCGGTTTCGAGGGGGCTGATGCGGAAGACGTGATCTATGTGAACTGGCTCAACATGGTTAGGGCAGGGCTGCTGGCTCTTGAGTTCTACACCCCAGAGGCCTCCAACTGGCGGCAGGTAGGGCTGGGTAGAGCTCAGGAGGCTGGAGGGATTCTGGGTGTTGGGATGGCACAACCGTGCCTCTAAGGCAGATGAAATGATTTAATCCGGACTCCATCGCTAGTGCAGCAAGTCATGTCCCTGCTGTGAGAGCATCAGTGCCCCTGACTGTGAAATGGGGGTAATAATTTCTCCTAGCTACCCTTTGGGGTGAATCAGATCAGGTGATTTTGGTGCCATGCTTATCAGTTCACATACCATGTGCCACTGTGTACACAGTGCTTATCACCTCATGTGAGTTAACTGTTGCTCTCAGCTTGGGCTCCAGAAGGTGGGCACTCTTATTATCCTTACCTCAGAGATAAAGAAATCGAGACAGAGATTAATTAACTTCCTGGTAAGGCATAGCCAGGACTCAAATGTACACGCCTGCCTCTATGGCCACCGAGTTACAATATATGTTTACAAATGTATGGTTTATGTCATCAAAAGAATATACATTTTAGCCAGGCATGGTGGGGACATGCCTGTAATCCCACCCCTGGGAGGCTGAGGCAAGAGAATCACAGGTTCAAATCCAGCCTGAGTGAATTAGCAAGACCCTGTCTCAAAATTTTAAAAGCCTAGGGAGCTGGGGGCGTAGCTCAGGATAAAGGCCCTGGGTTCAATCCCTAGTACTCAAGGAAAAACAAAAACTCCCCAAAAAACAGAACTATACACTCAAAAGAAAAGAATATACATTACAGTTTCTAGAAACTTAGGTCTGTGTCCTGGCTCTTCCTTTACCATCTTTGTGACCCTAAGCAAGTACTTCACTTGTCTGGACCTCTTTTTTTTTTGTTATCTGCAAAATGCACAGTCACATTGTTGAGCACCAGCAAGACGGGAGAAGAGAGCTGGCCATGGTGCTGAATACCTGGACTCCCAGCTACTCTGGAGGTTGAGACAAAAGGATCACAAGTTTGAATTCAGCCTAGGCAATTTAGCAAGACCCTATCTCAAAAATAAAAAAGGGACTGGGGATGTAGCTTAGTGGTAAATACACACCTAGCATGTGTGAGGTGCTACATTGAATCCTCAGAACTACATTATGAAAAAAAAGATTAGAGAGGAAAAAAGACCCCTCTTTTCTAAATGGCCTCCCTGTCCCCCAGAGCAGCCTGCCCTCCCCATGAGCATAGGTGGGAGGAACAATTTGAGTGGAGAGGAGTAGGCAGAAAAGAACCCGTGGGGTGGAGGAGAATAAAATGATAGTAATAACTGACAGTTAGTGAACATATACAATATATCAGACCATGGATCAACACTGGCTGCTGGTTGTAAATGACTCCTTTCTCCTCGGCTTGGCAGGCTCACATGCAGGCCCGGTTTGTGATCCTGAGGGTCTTGCTGGAGGCTGGCGAGGGACTCGTTACCGTCACTCCCACCACAGGCTCTGATGGGCGCCCAGATGCTCGAGTCCACCTGGACCGCAACAAGATCCGGTCAGTGGGCAGGCCTGCCCTGGAGCGGTTTCTTCGGAGGCTCCAGGTAAGTGAAGGTCTCTCCCCTTGGACTTGCCCAGTCCCTGCCTCATTCCCCACCCTATATTAACGTGTGCTTGTGATTAGTTCCTTTGCTCATTCAGCAAGTGATTAGAGCAAGTGGTTTCAAGTGCTGGGTTCTGAGTTTTTCAGATGGTAGTGAGGGAAGGTAGACAAAAAACATGCAAACAGTAGGTGAATAAGACCTTCTTAGTGCATTCCTGTAATATCTACACTTGGGAAGCTGAGTCAGGAGACTCTCAAGTTTAAGTCTTGCTGGAATGACTTAGACCTTGTCTCAAAATTGAAAATTAAAAAGGGCTGGGGATATAGCTCAGTATGAGGGCCTTGGGTTCAATCCCTAGTACTATACCTTCAGGTCATGGTAAGAGCTATACAGACAGTAGGATACGATTGTAAATGAGATTGGAAAAGAAAGGAAGAGCTAGTTTTGCCTCTATGGTCAAAGTGTGGTTCCTGAACCAGCAGTATCACATCACCCAGAAGCAGGTTACAAATACACATTCTTCCCAGGCTTCTAGAATCAGAATCTCTGGAGGCTTGGACTCAGGAATCTGCACTTCACCAGCACTTCCGGGAGTCCAGTGCTTATCAGAGTTTAACCACTAAGAAACTGCTTTTTTCTAGGTTTTTTTTTTGGTACCGAGGATCCAAACTTGGGCCCTTGCACCTGCAAGGCAGGCAGTGGAACCACTGTGCCAAATCCCCGGCCTGAAGCTGCTTTTACCTGTACAATACCTTCCACAAGATCAGAGTCCTGTTGGTTCTATAGAAATCCCAGCCTTTAATTCACACATCATAAATTTATGATTTATGATACATGATTTTTAAAAATCATGAATCACAATATCTCTGATTTTCCTCCTATTTCCAGAAAGGATTTAAAGCATTTTACTATAAAAGACATATGTTTAACCATTAAAGTAAAATAAAATTAGAAATTAGCAGCTGAGAATATAACCCTGTAGTAGAGCACATGCTTAGCATGTGAACCCCTGGGTGTGATCCCCAAGACCACCAAAAAACAAATAGAAATTAAAACATCACTAGATGGCAAAACATAATGTAATTTAGTGGGAAAAGTAGTCAGTAGTTTAGTTAGTAGGAATGGAGCAATTGTGTGAGAGATGACCACAGGTGAAACTGGACTAGGGTATGTGGGAGCTCACTGTATTGCCTTTGCAACGTTTTATTTATTTATTTATTTATTTATTTATTTATTTATTTATTTATTTATTTATTTTATTTATTTATTGAGACAGGGTCTCACTATGTAGTTGTAGTATGTAGACTGACCTGGAACTCACTATGTAGCCCAGGCTGGTCTCGAACTCACAGTGATCCTCCTGCCTCAGCCTCCTGAGTGTTGGGATTATAGGCTTTGCAACTGTTTTATAAATCTAAAGTTACTCCAAGGTAAAGTTATTAGTAGTAACAAATCAGAAGGTTAACTGCAAATGGCAAAAAAGAGAGAGAGAGAAAAATAAAATTCCCAAATCATTAGATATACAAATTGCTAGGCCAGACTGAATTAAATCTAAGCACTGAATTAACACAAAGCTTTCTGGATGCCCCTGCTAGGGGGACTGTTGGGCCCCTTGGGCCTCTGTACAGCATAGTTTTCAGTTTCCTCAGGAATAATTTTATGGAAATTATAGAATATCGAATCACTTTGGGTGTGGCTATTTGTGTATTAGCCTCCAGCAACGCTAAGAACACAACCAACCACGGAACAGCAAGTAGGGAAAGACTTCATTCAGCCAGGGGTCCCAAACCCAGCCATATTTTAGGACCGCCTTATATTATAAAAATTGGCAAGGGCCAGGGATTTAGCTCAATGGTGACACTGCCTGCCTTGCAAGCACAAGGTCCTGAGTTCAATCCCAGGTACCAAAAAAATTGGCAATATCTGGGCATCAGTCTCTATTTCTGGTTTCATAGAAGATCTGACAACAACAGACTGAATTCCCACATGACCAACTGGCAGGAATTGAGTGATAGCCAGTGTTGGGACATCACATGGGCTCTCTAATTTGCCTGGGTCCTCAGTGAGCCTACTCATGGATTCTGTATTCGTGAATGTATTCATGAATTCAACTAAGCACACATTAAAAATATTCAGGGTGGGCAGGCATGGTGGCATATGCCAGTGATCCCAGCACTCTGGGAAGCTGAGGCAGAGGGATTACAAGTTCAAGGCCAGCCTGGGCAATTTAGGGACTTAGCAAAACCCTGTCTCAAAATAAAAAACAAAAGGACTGGGGATGTAGCTCAACGAGAAGGCCCTGAATTCAATCCCTAGCACTATCCCCCAAGAAGACAAGATATTTGGGGAAAGAATTTGTTTATGTATTGAACATGTCATTATTTCCTAAACACTGTAGTTTTTAAAGGCATGGTGGTGGCCCATGCCTATAATCCCAGAACTTGTGAGGCTAAGGCAGGAGGATCTCTGTGAGTTCTAGGCCAGCCTGGGCTACATAGTAAGTTCGAAGCCAACCTGGACTACATAGTGAGATCCTGTCTCAAAAAACAAAATAAAACAAAGCAAAAAACAATGTAGTTTTTAACATTTACATTCTCTTCATTATTATAAGTAACCTATAGATTAAAATATACTAGAATGTGTGTGTTGTTATATTCAAATGTCTTATATAAGGCCCTTGAGCATGCGTGAATTTTCGCATGTTCAGGGGGTCCTGGAACCAATCCCCCAGAGACTATACTTGCCTGAGTTGCTTGTTTGAATCCCATTACAGTGTACCTGGCTCCCACTGGCAGCTGTGTTGCCAGCTTCCTGTTTGAACTCCTGGGTTCTGAAATGTCAGCTTGGTAAATATGAATTCAGCACCTCATGGATATTAAGTACTATCAAAAAGAGAAAAAGGTGGCCAGGGATTTAGCTCTGTCACACCGTGTCTGCCTTGCAAGCACAAGGTCCTGAGTTTGATCCCTGGTACTGCAAAAAAAAAAGTCCTTTTTAGTCCTTCTCCAGGAATTCCCAGTTAGTTTTGTTTTTGTTTTTTGAGACAGGGTCTCACTATGCAATTGAGACTGACCTGGAACTCACTATGGAGCCCAGGCTGGTCTCAAACTCACATCAATCCTCCTGCCTCAGCCTCCTGAGTGCTGGGATTACAGGGGTGCGCCACCACACCTGGCTCCCAGTCAGTTTTATTTGTTCCACTGCAAGGAAAAGTCATTCTATCTCTAAGTCTAAGAAGATGGACTCTTATCTAGATAGAGCCCTAGGTTCAGTCCTACTTTGCCACTTGCAAATGGGTAAAATGAACAAGGATCACAAAATATTAGATTTTTGGCAAAGAACCAAATAGACCTCCTTGAAGTAAACTAGATAATCACTGAAATTTAAAAAGGTGGTTAATAATAGGCAGAATAAACAGGGTTTTTGTTTGTTTGTTTTTTGAGACAGGATCTCACTGTGTAGTTCAGCTGGGCTTGAACTCACTGTGTGGTCCAGGCTGGCCTTGAACTCATGGCGGTCCTCTTGCCTCAGCCTCCCAAGTGCTGGGATTACTCCTGTGCACCACCACACCTAGCTCTACACAGGTTTTATATTCAGCTGATGATAAATTATTAAGCTTGTAACAGCTTTCTGGCAGTGATAATCTCCTCACAAAATATGACTCTCGCAAATGTCTTCATCCCTCTCCAGAAGAGGAGGAGAGGAAACACAAGCACCTGCTGCAGAGCCCGAATTTCTACTTCATGAATGTGAAATGCTTAGGATGCTATAAAATGGCCTTGGTCTTTAGCCACACACAGACAGTAGTTTCGTGTGTTGGCTGCTCCGTTGTCCTCTTCCAGCCTACAGGAAGGAAAGAGAGGTTTACAGAAGGACGCTCCTTCAGGAGGAAGCAGCACCAACAGCACCTTGAAGTGGAAACCATCCCAATAAATACGTTCTGGATTAAAAAAAAAAATCAGAAATAAATTACAAAAGATATAATAGAGGTTAGGAGGGAGGAGAGTGTGAGAAGGTCTAATGTATGACTAATTGAAGTTACAAGACAGAAAATGCTAAAAGCAGCCAAACACATCACCTAAAAAAAGGATGATAATTAGACTGAGAACTGACAAAGATACAGAGGAAGCCAGACAACAGTGAAATGACATCTGCCAGGTGCTGAGAGTAAGTAGCTATCAATACCCTGTAAACTGAACTTTTAGCAAGAGGAATGAACAGGCTGGGGACACAGCTCAGTAGTAGATCTCTTGGCCTGGCATATACAAGGCCTTGGGTTCTATCCCTACACCAGGAGAAGCAGATGGGGGAGGGAAAGAATTAAAGACTTTTTTGGTGTTTATTGTTTGGTTTTTTTTTTTTTTTTTTTTTTTTTTTTTTTTTTTTTTTTTTTTTTTTTTTTTGTTTTTTTTTTTTTTTTTTTTTTTTTGCTTGTTTGGTTTTGTTGTTGTTAGGCAGGATCTTATTATGTAGTTCAGGCTGGCTTTGAATTTACAGCGATGCTCCTGCCTCAACCTCCTGAGTGCTACAATTACAGGCATGTGGAATTAAAGACATTTTTAGACAAACAAAAGCAGTTTGCCATTAACAAACCATCTGACACAACCTCTACAGGGTATAATTTAAGGGATAAACCTGTTCACCAGGCCTACAAGGATGTTCAGAGCAGTATTTCACAAATGACACAGATTAGATCTGTGGGTGTGGTGCAGTGGTAGAGCTTGTACTTAGCATGCAGGAGGCCCCAGATTTAATCCCCAGCACCACTTATACATAGAACCAAAATAAGCACGAATTATCCATCAACAGTAGAAGAAAATAAGTTGTGGTGCTTTTATGAGTGGAATATGATATAGCAGTGATAAGGGGGAACTATAGCTTCTTGTGTTAGCACAGATGAATCTCAGACACAATTTAAGCAAAAGAGGCAAAACTTGTTAGGAGTGTTGATGTACGCCTGTAATCCCAGGACTTGGGAGACTGAGGCAGAAGACCACAAGTCCAAGCCCTGCCTAGGCAACTTAGTGATTTCATAAGACTCCATCTTAGAGTAAAAAATAAAAAAGAGCTGGGGTGTGACTCAGTGTGAAGGTCCTGAGTTCAATACCCAGTACTCCCCCACCCCTCCCAAAAAAGACAAAAACTTAAAATAGTAAGTGATGCAGAGTAGAAGTCAAATCAAGGAGATTGCTCAGAAGTGAAAGCAGTGATTTGCTCAGATGGGGTTGCCTCTTGAGACTCTCACATGGGCTCCTGAGAGCATGGGGGTCTCTGATTATCTTTTATGGCAAACACTTTTTTGTTCATATGAAATGTTTTTTAAAAAGAGAGTGATGTTGGGCCGGGGATTTAGCTCAGTGGTTCTGCCGCCTGCCTCACAAGCGCAAGGACCCAGGGTTCAATCCCTGGTACCAAAAAAAAACCCAATAAAAAGAGAGTGATGTAATGCCTGCCTTATCTACACATCAAATGAAGAACATTCACTTCAGTTCAGCCATTTACAGTGACTGAGCACTTTATCTGCATTTCTTCCTCATTCAGCACCACAGTGAGAAAGCAGATTCTATTCCCATTTTGAGACAACACTCAGAGTGGTTTAGTAAATGATCCAAGGTAATACACCCTATGACAGTGAAGCATTTTGAAGACTGCATTTGAGATTGGATAATTTATAAAGAACAGAAATGTATTTCTCACAGTGCCAGGTGCTGGGAAATCTAGGATCCAGGCATCAGCAGGTTCAGTGTCTGGGGAGGGCCACTGTCCTCTTCCAAGGTGGCACCTTGTTGCCACAGTCTCTGGAGAGAAGGAAAACTCCATCTTTGTATGGTGGAAGGTGGTTGAAACCTTTTTTAATGAGGACTTAATCCTATTCATGAAAGAGGAGCCCTCTTGACCTAATCCCCACCTCTTAATAGCATTACATTAGCTAAATCTAAATACCCGAATTTTGGAGGAGACACATTCAAACCATAACCCAGAGGACCCTTTGGGGCTGGGCACAATCAGCCATGGCCCCTGGCAGAGCTCTGTGGATACAAGGTAGGTGCTCACCCCTACATACTCCTTTGTTCCTTCAGGTAATGAAATCCACAGGTGATGTGGCTGGAGGGCGGGCCCTGTATGAAGGGTATGCAGCTGTCACTGATGCTCCCCCCGAGTGCTTCCTCACCCTCAGGGACACAGTGCTGCTGCGAAAAGAATCACGGAAGCTCATTGTACAACCCAACACTCGCCTTGAAGGTAATGGGAGGATTGATGGGGACCATGCAGGGCCTTTGGAGCACAAAGGATGCTCTTGGACCAAAACCTTGGCATCTACCACTGCCACCACCATACACAGGGTCACTCTGGTTGTCAACAAAAGGGAGGCCAGCAGAGCAGGGGTACATGGGTCGCCAGGCCAGAAACTAGAAAATCACAGCTATCAGGTGTCCCGGCATGAGGTCAGGTCAGACAATGAGCTGGGACTTGGCAGACCAAGTGGAACCCAAGAGAATAATGGATTCTGCAGTGTTCACAGTGGAGATCAGCCCCACTATCCCTGTCCTTTCTCAAGTGATAAGTCCATGACAAGTCGGACTAGGCTGCATGGTGCTGTACCTTCTGTGCCCTTCCATTGCTCCAGCCCACTGAGCTCTCCTCATTTCTGTAACCTTTGGACATGCTGTTCCCTCTGCTTGGCATGAGCATCTCCCAGATTGTGCCTGTCTGGTCCTTCTTGTCGTTCAGGTCTCTGTTCAATTGTACTTCCTGAGAGATGCATCTGCAAGCAACTCCAAACCGGCTCTACATTTTGCTTCTCCTTGGCACAGGACAGCAGAGGTGTAAATGTGCAAGCATAAGGCGCTTCCCCTTAACACTCTGTTCTTCATTTTCCACTTAGCTACTTTCTTACCTGTCTTGTTTCCGTGAGAGTAGGGGCAGCATACCAGGAAAAACATACCTTGCTGCAGCATGATGTCCCTTACAGCAGCTGCTCCATTTAGTCAAATCAGTAAATGAAGAAATCCTGCCAGCTCCAGGGATAATGCTATCATTGCTTTAATATGTCTGGGCCTGTGTGAGCCAATAGGGGGTAGAGAGGTGAAAGGGACCCGAGTTGTTCACAGCCCCATTAGAAATGAAATGACATAGAAATAATAATCATACAAGAGAAGCATTAATGAGGTCCAAAAGTGCTCTGGATGCTTAGAAGAGGGAAGATCTAGGGAGGAAGTGATGATTAAGCTAGACCTGAAGGAAAAGTGGAATTTTCAGTAATGATGACGATGATGGTGATGATAGCTAATTTTTGAAGATTTCTAAATAATAAGTACTAGCTAAAAATTTTCCATAATTGCCTTCCAACTACCAAGTGAGGGGTAGTTATCCCCATTTTTTCATCTGGAAACATATGAAAGTGCTGCATATATGCCTAAGGTCATAGAGCTAGTAGGGGACAGAGTCAGGACTTGAACTTGCACCATCTGAACCCAAAGTCTGTGCTCTTAACTACTATACACTGCAATGCCATGGAGCATCAGGTGCTGTGAGTAGGTAGAGCAATTGAAGTGTGGCAGTGGAGAATGCTTCCCGTGGGTACCCAGGAGACCCTCAGAACAGGCCCCTTTAACAGGTGAATAGTCAGGCAAATGATGCTGCTGGTGGCAGCTAGCATTCGTTTAGCACTGGGTCAGTGCATTGGTGTGTGTAATCACCATAGTTCCTTGAGAGATACTGTGCTTACTCCTACTTACAGATGAGGAAACAGTCTCAGACACTGGAAAACTTGCCCATATGTAGACAGAGAAGCAATTACTGGATAGTAAATTCCAGGAGGCTAAGCATTGTATTTGTTTCATCTAAGAAGACGCAGGATGTAAATCTTTATTTTCATGACAGACTGGGGGTGGGGGGGCTGAGTTTGTAGCAATTAACTTAATACTCCCCTATAATATTTTCTTCCTCACAGAGTGATTATAAGGACTAAGATAACTAATCTAAAAGGTGAACAGAGTTTGGGACACAAAAGCTCAGTAAGAACCAGTTGTCCCATGATTACACTGTTGTGATTTAACTTCCCTGTTTGCTCTCCATAACCCAGGCTCAGAAGTACAGCTTCTTGAGTACGAGGCCTCAGCAGCTGGACTCATCAGATCCTTCTCTGAGCGATTCCCAGAGGATGGGCCTGAATTAGAGGCGATTCTCATCCAGCTGGCCACTGCTGATGCCCAATTCTGGAAGAGCTCCAGTGAGGCCAGGTCTGGCCAAGCTTGAGGATATGTGTGACTCCTCCCTGGACTCCATCAAACCAGGAATGTGTGTGACCCTCCAGTGTGTAATCAGGGGGCTAGGGGAGGGGCAGGAGCTGGGACTTTGGTGCTACCTCAGCTAAGAGTGGTGACACTTATTGCTTCCATTTGTCCACACTTTCTGATTTACCAAGTGTCTCGCCTCAGTTCATTGATCTGTGCTGCCATCTATGGAGTGGACACTAGTTGGCTCCTTACATGGTTTCCTAGATGAGGAAATGGCAGTTCTGAGAAGTGACTGATCTGTATCCTGCAGGTGGTATGTGACAGGATGGAGTCGGGGCTCAAAACATTCACCAAATCCACTGCTCTTCTTGTATTACTTTTATAACTAGAAAAATAAATATTAGAAACAACTGTCATCCTTGCAATGTGCATGATTGCTTGCTTTCGCTGCCTATAGGGCAGTGTGATCAAGGCTCTGGGGAAGGAGTTGAGGGATATATTTTGCCAACACCACTTTCCCTCCATTCACAACAGTATGTTTACATTATAGCACAATTTTTTCAGTCTTCCTTTGTTGCATTTCTAGCATTTAAAAATATTCCAGGAGGGCCAGGTATTTAGCTCAGTGGCGCTGTGCCTGCCTCGCAAGTGCAAGTCCTGAGTTTGAGCCCGCGTACAGAAAAAAAAAAAAAAAATCCAAGTACCTAAAAACCAGAAACAATCAACTTCAGTCAGCATCTGCTGTATTGCCCCTAACCCTCATATTTTCTTCTCTGAGCCAGGACCTCTAGTGAGATAGCCAGAAGGGACATGGCCCTTTAGCTGGGCCTTGAAGATGAAGTTCATTTAGGTGCTTTAAACCCTAGCAGGGGCTTCTGAGGCCCTTGAAACCAAAGGCCGTAGAGCCCCCAAACCATACATCACAATAAGTGGGGCTGAGGGACCGCGCTCTAGCGCTCTGCACCGGACAAAGATACCAGTAACATCCTGGCCCAGCTTGGAAAGTTTCACTCCGGAACCTTTGTGAGCAAGCTTCGGGATACCCGGGCTCTACTGGGCTAGGCGCGGCGACGGGGGCGGGGCCGGTTGCCAAGACGACGACTGAGAAGATGGCTGCTAAATCTTCATCCGATTCCGATAGCGGCAGAGTTGAGAGGTGAAGGCTTCCTTTGCCACAAATGTAAAGCGGGTACCTTCGTCCCGGGCTGTAGTTCCTGTGGTTCTTGGGCAGCTCTGGAAGTCCTTGAAAGACTCTTAGAGATCAGATGGGGGAACCGATGACCAGGGAGTGCGTGTGTGCCTGACTCGAGATCACTCGGTGCGCAAATTTGGGGGCCCAGAGTGGGACCCAGAGGTTCTCTATTCCCAATTGACAGACCCCTATGCTCCTTAGACACAAGCACACTCAAAGTTTACCTCCGCACCGTGCGGTGGAACTCACTTTCCCACACTTTCTCCCAACTTTCAGCGATGAGGCCAATTCGAAATGGCTGGACGCACACTACGACCCTACGGCCAACATCCACACATTTTCCTCCTGTCTGGGTGAGTCTCTGGAACCAGGAACTCCGAGTTCTAAGAGAATGGGGGAGTCAGATAATAGTTCCGTGATGAAGCTGGGGATTAAACCCAGGATCTCGCGAATGCTGTGCAATGTGACTGATTCTGAGACTAATGTATGGCTCTGTTTGTGTTGTTTTCCAGCACTAGCAGATTTGCATGGGGATGGAGAGTACAAGGTAAGCAATTGCAAAACAGATGGTGGAGGGTGCCCAGATGTAAGATTTCCCAATGGCTCCAAAGAGGTTTAACATAATCTGGAATTGACATATACAGTGAAAATCATATTTAGTATTAACTTTTCTTTTTTGCTTTAAAAATGAAGAGAAACTTGATTTCATGATGTAGAAGAAAGTAGAGTAGGATAAAATGCTGCTGGAGATTCTAACAAGAAGAAGCCTTTTAATTTACTTATCTTAACATGATTCTTTGCTGGAAGCACAAATCTCTTGGCTAAGGTTGGGCATTATAGTCTGGAGAGGAAGTAAAAAGAGAAAGGAAGTGAGAGTTTTATATCTATCAAGAGGGTATAGATTGTAAGGTTCGCTATGATCTGATAATTAAGCTAGATAATAGGAATGTGGGGGGTCATTATACAAGCCTTTCAGTTTTTGTTTATGATTGGTAATTTCCATAATAAAAAGATAAATACTTTAATTTTGATATAAAGATAAATAAAATTGTAAATAAATATTTAGTCCAGTGGTAGATATGCATAAGGCCCTAGGTTCAAGCCCCAGTACCAAAGAGAGACATTTTTTTTTTTTTTTTTTTTTTTTTTTTT